TTGCACTTGCCAGGCAAGTGCTTATTCTACTGAGCCATCTTCCCAGCCTCCTAATTTCTGATGGCTGAATTTCCAACAAATTTTAGTAATAATGACTAACATTTAATCTGTACTCTGCACAAGTCTAAGAAATGTATGTGACATTATGAAAGAGGCATTATAATTACTGTTTTCATGAGTGAGAAATGGTTTACTTTTTCAAATGATTACAAAGGACGTACATTGTATCACTTGAACCAGCAAAACTGGGACAGATACAAGCTCAAGTGCACATGCTTTTGCTCTACCTCAGTAATCCAATTCCTATGACTGAGGTCAAGGAGATGAGAGAAAGGGATGTGCTCTCTGTGTTACTGAGAATCTGAAGAGCAAACCCTGGAGGCCTCCATAGCACTGAAAACTTTCCTATCTTTAAAGGATGAAGTAGTTCCCCTTTCCTTCTTAGTCTTTGCTGAGAAACTGAAAGGTAGAATTAAGATTTTTTTTTAAATAAAGAAATCTTGTAAAAGCATCAACAAAGGCACAAGCTTTTAAAAAATGTACTCTGTAATGTAAAACTTCATGAACAGTAATCTAAGACACATATCCCCTTTCAGGAAGGAAATTATTTAAATAATTAAAAGAGTAGCCCTGAAAGGTTGTGTGACTCTTTCCTTTTAAGAAAGGTAAAAAAAATGTATCCCGCTACTTGCTTTAAAAGTAGAAAGAAAGGCAGTAAATTTGGACAAGAAAAATAATTTGGATTTTCAGAAAATAGTTGAATATTAAAAACAACAATTATTTTGATATGATTCTTAAAATGTGTGTTATTTGAAATAATAAAGGTTTAAGCTGTATAGAAAAAAAATTGTTTATGGTGCTAAAGGAAATGATTCCCCCCCCGTGGAAATTAATAAAGGTCATATCCATAGAACACAAAAATAGTTTCTTTATCATATACCTTTTCTTTGCCGTATATAAGGAAGTGATAAAACATACTAAACCTCTTATTTGAACCAAAAATTTGTTCAGCAATGCTTTTTTAAAGTTTTTTTTCCAAAGTTTTACTGATAAACAGATAACAATGAGACAGTTTCAAATCAAATTGGAAGTACAGTTTCAACAAAT